TACCTACTGTGAAGCATGGGGGTGGAAACATCATTCTTTGGGGCTGTTTTTCTGCAAAGGGACCAGGACGACTGATCCGTGTAAAGGAAAGAATGAATGGGGCCATGTATCGTGAGATTTTGAGTGAAAACCTCCTTCCATCAGCAAGGGCATTGAAGATGAAACGTGGCTGGGTCTTTCAGCATGACAATGATCCCAAACACACCGCCCGGGCAACGAAGGAGTGACTTCGTAAGAAGCATTTGAAGGTCCTGGAGTGGCCTAGCCAGTCTCCAGATCTCAACCCCATAGAAAATCTTTGGAGGGAGTTGAAAGTCTGTGTTGCCCAGCGACAGCCCCCAAAACATCACTGCTCTAGAGGAGATCTGCATGGAGGAATGGGCCAAAATACCAGCAACAGTGTGTGAAAACCTTGTGAAGACTTACAGAAAACGTTTGACCTGTGTCATTGCCAACAAAGGGTATATAACAAAGTATTGAGAAACTTTTGTTATTGACCAAATACTTCTTTTCTACCATAATTTGCAAATAAATTAATTATAAATCCTACAATGTGATTTTCTGGATTTTTTTTCCTCATTTTGTCTGTCATAGTTGACGTGTACCTATGATGAAAATGACAGGCCTCTCTCATCTTTTTAAGTGGAAGAACTTGCACAATTGGTGGCTGACTAAATACTTTTTTTCCCCACTGTATATACCACTATTACATACCACCAACTAACATCTATATACCACTATTACATACCACCAACTAACATCCATATACCACTATCACATACCACCATCTAACCCTGCATCTATATCCCACTATTACATACCACCAACTAACCCTGCATCTATATACCACTATTACATACCACCAACTAACCCTGCATTTATATACCACTATTACATACCACCAACTAACATCTATATACCACTATTACATACCACCAACTAACATCTATATACCACTATTACATACCACCAACTAACATCTATATACCACTATTACATACTACCAACTAACCTTCCATCTATATACCCCTATTACATACCACCAACTAACATCCATATACCACTATCACATACCACTAACTAACCCTGCATCTATATACCACTTTTACGTACCACCAACTAACCCTGCATCTATATCCCACTATTACATACCACCAACTAACCCTGCATCTATATACCACTATTACATACCACCAACTAACCCTGCATTTATATACCACTATTACATTCCACCAACTAACCCTCCATCTATATACCACTATTACATACCACCAACTAACATCTATATACCACTATTACATACCACAAACTAACCCTCCATCTATATACCACTATTACATACCACCAACTAACATCCATATACCACTATCACATACCACCATCTAACCCTCCATCTATATACCACTATTACATACCACCAACTAACCCTCCATCTATATACCACTATTACATACCACCAACTAACCCTCCATCTATATACCACTATTACATACCACCAACTAACCCTCCATCTATATACCACTATTGCATACCACCAACTAACATCTATATACCACTATTACATACCACCAACTAACAGCTATATACCACTATTATATACCTTAAACTAACCCTCCATCTATATACCACTATTACATACCACCAACTAACATCTATATACCACTATTACATACCACCAACTAACATCTATATACCACTATTACATACCACCAACTAACATCTATATACCACTATTACATACCACCAACTAACATCTATATACCACTATTACATTCCACCAACTAACGCTCCATCTATATACCACTATTACATACCACCAACTAACCCTCCATCTATATACCACTATTACATACCACCAACTAACATCTATATACCACTATTACATACCACCAACTAACCCTCCATCTATATACCACTATTACATACCACCAACTAACATCTATATACCACTATTACATACCACCAACTAACATCTATATACCACTATTACATTCCACCAACTAACCCTCCATCTATATACCACTATTACATACCACCAACTAACCCTCCATCTATATACCACTATTACATACCACCAACTAACCCTCCATCTATATACCACTATTGCATACCACCAACTAACATCTATATACCACTATTACATACCACCAACTAACATCTATATACCACTATTACATACCTTAAACTAACCCTCCATCTATATACCACTATTACATACCACCAACTAACATCTATATACCACTATTACATACCACCAACTAACATCTATATACCACTATTACATACCACCAACTAACATCTATATACCACTATTACATTCCACCAACTAACCCTCCATCTATATACCACTATTACATACCACCAACTAACCCTCCATCTATATACCACTATTACATACCACCAACTAACATCTATATACCACTATTACATACCACCAACTAACCCTCCATCTATATACCACTATTACATACCACCAACTAACCCTCCATCTATATACCACTATTACATTACACCAACTAACATCTATATACCACTATTACATTCCACCAACTAACCCTACACCTACTGTCTAACACTATTTCTGTCACGATTCTCTAAGACAGAACCCAGAAGCAGACCAGGACAAGGTGAGTTGAACGAAGGTGAGTGTTTATTTACAGATTCAAAAGATGCAGAATAATCCAGGAGACGGAGCGGGTGGCGGAGATGAGTAGGTGGAGGTGAAGTGGCAGATTAAATGATGGCACGGCAGGGGTTGGGTGAAGGTTCCGGGAGAATGACTGTAGACAGAAAAAAAACGGAGGTAAGTACAAGGCAGGTCAACAAGGTGCAAAATAACAAAAACTAACGCTAGTACTTAGAGGCTGATACGCTGACAAAACATACTGTTAATGGCTAACGATCCGGCAGGGAATGGATGTCAGGTCAAAGCTTAAGAAGGGGTGATGATCAGGACCAGGTGTGCCGAGGCTGATGAGAAGCAGGTGCGGGTGCGGGTAATCGAGAGATCACCCGCCTAGCAACGTCGCCAGGCAACCGGACAGGGTGCGTTCAGGAACCTTCAGGAAACAGGAGATACCGAGCAGAAAAACGGCAACACAGGCAGGAACAGACTCAGGACGCAGGGTTCATGACAATTTCACTACTTTGACCCTAACTGATCCTATACCAGGCTGACTGCCTGGGAGGACGGGACTCTTTCGTTCAACACACCTTGTAAAACCTTGTACACCCAAGTACTTCTCTGCAGCTGCCACCACAACATCTATTTTCTGTGATATACGTTCCATTTCTGCGGTACAGTTGATAACCATGGCAATGAATGCTAAGAAGCCAACCTTACTGAAGCACAAATTCGTATCACTCTGTATTGGCCTAGGCCTACTATTCACCCTTGACCCATCATCCTCTACTCTCTTCACTGCCTCAGCATACGACACCTGTTCTACTCTGACCCTGGGAACCTCAATCTGTCTCGCACCAGGCACTTCTGATCCCCAGCAAAATTGGCACCTAACAGCGGATGTCACAGACAGGGAATCTTCGATTTCAGTTGCTCCACCTCAACCCTTAACGCCACCCCAGTAATCACTCCTTTCAAAGGCACCATGCTCCGGAGAGCAAATGTCATACGTTTTGTCGTGTGACGAGAAGCGCTCGCTCCCTCTGGACGGAAGAAACCCAGAAAATCATCACAAATCCACTTCGAGCTACCTTTAACACTACCCAACTTCATTTCTAACCAACCTGAGACTACATATGGATCAGCCAAAAGGCAGGGATCCAATTTCTCCAGAAATGTCACTACCACTGGGCCCAAATCATCAGGTTCAATTTCTGAGCCATCAGAGTCATCAGAATATGGTTTGTATTTGGCGCCATTCTTTCTCAACACACATTTTCCCACTGCACTCGGCTCTTCTCCTTCTTCCTCGCTGTCCATAACCATGTCTATCTGTTCACCTCTCTCATGCCGCACCTTCATCCGCTGTACTGCTTGCAGAACACGCACTGATGGCCTTTCTCCAATACCCACCTTCTGTTCCTTAGCCCAATTTACTAGTCTGGCTATCTCTGGCCTCTCCATGCTCCCAAAACGTGCCACAGTCGTCAGCCAGGTCTCCTTCTTATCATCCATTTCAGCAAACAATCCCTCTTCACCAACGAGTTTCAGTCGCCGGTTGACAGCCTCCCATTCACTCATTGAAGGAGAGGTCACCTTGTCCCATAATCGCCCAGAATGCACTGCACGGCCCATTGAAGATGCATTGACAACGTCCACAATGGGCATTAGTACAATCCCAATGGAGTTTCCCATCTCCTCAAAAATAGTTCTGTCCTTGCTCTACCTTGCTGCACTCTGAAAACAAAGATCGCCTCCTCTAACCTACACAGGGTTGTCACTAGTTACCACAGCCACAAAGTCTAAATATCGTACAAATTCATGGTCTTAATTTAAGGTTAGGGTTAGGCATAATATTAGCAGTGTGGTTAAGGTTAGGGTTAGGTTTAAATTTTGATTTTAAGAAGATAAATTGTAGAAATAGGCGGGGTTTAGCCATGTGTGGCTGTGGTAACTAGTGACCACCCCTACACACAATGTATGTTTAATTTGGGACTAGATCCTTTTTTTCTTCAACCTGAACTGAAAAGACAAAGGATAATGTTCTTTGTACCCTTAAAACCCCAACTACATAAAACAATAGAGCTCAAGTTTGACGCTTGCAGTAATCCATATTTCACTTGTTAACACTAATTAAAGTATCAGGAAGCGCACAACTAGTTAGCGGCAACGGGGGGTACACATAAGGATAAAGTAGCCTAGTTCTTCTTTGATATACAGACGTTACAGACGAGACTAGATCAAATGTTTATTGGTTGGTAGAATTGTTGGTACACAAAGATTGAGATTTTAAAAAGTTATGCGAGCACCAGAATCACATTTTATCTTTAGAATTTATAATAAAGGCATTTACAAGTCAGACTCTAAAAGTATTTCTAGTTCGAAATATTTTTGTTGCAACAGCACTCTCTGCCGTTCAAATAACTGAAGACAGTCGAAACATGCCTATGTCATTTCTCATTTTCTATTGGCTGCTTTCATTCACGTGATCAAAACATAATCATGGCGGCCTCTGCTGCAGTCCGGTCGAGCGTGGGGCTGACTTTGAGACTTTCTAGAGTTATACCAGATTGTAGCACATGTCCTTTCAACAGGTTGAATAGTTATTTGAATGGTATAGCTAGTTCTTCGAATGGTGATCGTTTTCGGACGTTGAACCGACACTTGCAGACATCCAGAGGTGAGTTGGTCTGTTAGCTAATTTACGCAGCTACACTTGGATAGCTATGTAGATAATTGTTCAGCTTCCATCAAACCAATTAATGTCTATCAATTTAGTGCTAGCCAGCTAGCTAGCTATGTCTAAGCAAATCGTAACTAGCTACTATTAGTAAGGCTTGCACCCACATTGTGAAAAATATAGCAAGACAATCATGGCATCTGTTGCTAAGAATATTTGATAAGTTGCGTAACTGATCTCCAAAGCTGCTACTGCTCCTACAGTAACTCAAACAATCCGTAAGAGGATCTGGAACTGAATGTCAACTATTTCTCTATTTTATTTTTGAAGGTCTGTACCACAATGAGGAGGGTGCAAGTGCAGAAGTCCCCCAAGAAGATGTGTAAGTAGCTACTCTGCCAATGCATCATTTAGCTAGCTAATGGAGTAACGTTAGCTAGTTATGTCTTTTACCCTTTTGACTCCGTTACGGTGCATAACTGGGCAAGTTAGTTCTTCATCTGATGTAGTTATGCAGACAAAGTCAAGGGGATATTCATACTTTGTAACTGATTTGCGTTAATGCCATTAATTTTGAGTGCACCATGCATTCATCACTTGCATTGTCATTTGTGAACTACCAAGTTTTTAATATTGTTGTTTTTGGTCTGCTCTTAGGGTGAATGTGGTGTACATAGATAGATCAGGAAAGAGGATTCCAGTGAAGGCTAAAGTGGGAGACAACGCAATGTACCTGGCCCATAGGCACAACATTGAACTGGAAGGTGAGTGCTAATAGGCTCGGGATGACGTCCTGAGAGAATTCAGGTCACAAGTTGGTGATTGATTTCTCGATTATTGTATTCATGAACACTTACATCTTGTTTCTTGCTCCCTTCCCATGCGTGATTTAAGGAGCTTGCGAGGCGTCACTAGCTTGCTCAACGTGCCACGTGTATGTGAACAGAGACCACTTCGACAAGCTACCAGAGCCTGACGAAAGGTATGAGAGCTCATATCATTGCACATCTTATAGTTGTCCCTGTCAAATAAACACATACAATGAAAATACGAAACATTCTTCAGTGTCAACAAGATTGACTCGTATAATGCAATGCAAATCAATGGTTTCAATTTAATTATTCTCATCGCAGAGAGGATGATATGCTGGACATGGCCCCCGCGCTACAGGAGAACTCCAGACTTGGCTGTCAGATCATCCTCACCCAGGAGCTGGAGGGCATCGAGCTGACCTTGCCTAAGGTCACCAGGAACTTCTACGTGGACGGCCATGTTCCCAAACCACACTGAGTACACTACACTCAACACTAGCACCCTATTTAGTGTGAAGCAATGTATTGGGCATTGATGCTAAGTAATATGGATGTTTACACTACAAACTAGCACCCTACTTAGTGTGAAGCAATGTATTGGACATGCGTTCTAAGTAGGATGCTAGTATGGATGTTGGAAGACAGCCCTCAGGACTGAGTCGTAAGAGAGAGAGGTGCACTCTTTGGACTGTCAGCAGGTATAAAGAGGTGAGCTGGGATAGAGGAGGCTTGAAGGGGCTCTTATATACCCACATGACTGTGTGCCAGAATACAAAAGTTATGTACCAGTCACTGGCTGCGTTTAGAAGGGCAGCCCAATTATATTTTTTTCAATAATTGGTCTTTGACAATAAGATCAGCTCGGAAAAACGTGCTCCTGATGTGATTGGTCAAAAGACCAATTAGTGGAAAACATCAGAATTGGGCTGCCTGTGTGAACGCAGCCCCTGAAGTGTGTTGTATTTGGCTCACACTGAAAATAATGCTGATTGTGGAAGAGTTGGATGGTTTTCAGCATTCATGTATAAATATGTCATGTGTATTGAATAGTTCTCAGGCCAAGATTGAGATTTCTATCAAACCATTCAATGTCACAAACAGTTGTTCTTTGTTTCATAGTAACATGAGTCAGCATTTCAGAAAGGCCCCTTGTCATTGCTACGCATCCAATCAAAACATGTTGTAAAGAACAACTTTGCATCCTTGAATGGAACATTCCATGTTACAACTCATTTACAAAGGACATCATACGCACACATCTCCTCAAATGGAGCTTCCAAGTAGTCATTAGTCTCTACATTAACAGCACTCACAGACAGCTAACTAACAGTATGTTATGTGTACGTATATGTAGCTTTCACCATCATATCTACTCATGGCCAGTTTCTATGAATTTTATTGGGGGGTTTTGTAGGCGTGTGGTGACTAGTCCCGTGTAGCTCAGTTGGTAGAGCATGGCGCTTGCAACACCAGGGTTGTGGGTTTGATTCCCACGGGGGACCAGTATGGAAGAAAAAAAAAATTATGCACTCACTCTGGATAAGAGCGTCTGCTAAATAACCAAAATGTAGTCAAGACCTTGACAAGCCCATCCACAACACTGAAAGCCCCTTTCCCTACATCAAGCCTGTCAGGAATCATTAACTGTCTCTGATGTAACACTTTTCCAGTATGTTTTGTAAGCGAAGGGCAGCTTGAGATCAATTGGAACGGAAAGGGTTGAATCCGTTAGATAACTGATGACGCCAAGGAGTTACTTGGGCTGCGTTGACACAGGCAGCCTAATTCTGATTTTTTTTCCCACTAATTGGTCTTTTGACCAATCACATCAAATCTTTTCAAAGCTGAACTGATTGGTCAAAAGACCAATTAGTGAAAAAAAGATCAGGATTGGGCTGCCTATATAAACACAGCCTAATCCATTTCACACTGACAGGTGCGTTTTGTTCAATTCCCAGGTCATTTCTGTTCCTGCCCATCCATACCCAGTAACGATTTGCCTTGTAATTTCACCATTAGTAGTCCCATTACTGTCCATCAAAAACCACCTGTATCCAGTATTAGTAGGCTCCTTTACAAACCTGGAATGCTTTCACTTGTACTGTAATGAAGTTGTCTAACATGCGCACAAAATATGTAAGTGTATTATGTATATATGGTATATCTCAAATTAGCAAGTTTATTTTAATTTGTACAATAAAAATACAAAAAGTTTGTACTAGTTTGTCTTAAACCCTATGCTTTTTAAAAACCACACTGAAGGCAATTGAACACAAGTGCAGTATTCAACGCCAGTCCTTGAGAGCAGTTTTAAACCTCAACACCCAGGAAAGGGAAACCAATTGTATAATCGACCAATTAATATCATACTAGGTCAAAACCACCTCTGGCCCTTTGAGGACTGAAGTTGAATACCACTGATAAAATGGTTGCGTTTAGGCAGCCCAATTCAGATATTTTCCGAACTAACTGGGCTTTTGACCCATCACATCTGATCATTTTCCGAGCTGATCTGATGGGTCAAAAGACAAATGAGTGAAAGAAATATCAGAATTGGGCTGCCTGTCTAAACAGCCAATGTGTCACTGCTAAATACTGATGCATTTTATTTGTTTTGTGGGTAAAGAATTTTAAATGGTTCAAGATAAAGCATCACAAGTCTCACTCAACAGCAGGGCTACAATTTGTACCAATAACCTCACTTCACGTGTTTTGTAATGGATGACTATTCTTGCAAAGCATTAGTAGCCTATACCTACTACTAGTAAGCCTATTTGCCTGGCTGTAAAACAAAAAAAATGATATATACAGAAGAAACAGGCGCCACAAGGTCGACAATTCCGGGAAAATCCAGAACGCAAGTCAACCCACACTTTTATGTGTTTATGCAGGCCAATCAACTTCAATCACAGACATCTGTGGCATCCTGTAGGCCCAACAACAAGTGCATTGTGGCAACGTGACTATCAATTTCCTGAAGCTAGTGATCAAATTGGGGGAGAAATTATTGTAATTTCGCTCAAGAAGACAGATTCGGTGAGAAAACCAAGGGTGAGTCTGCATGTGGGCCCTGATCGCCTTGGTAAGAGATTGCACGGTGATCGCCGACATGATTAGCGCATTACATTGTCAAAAGATTGATCTCAATAGTTTCAAGAACTATTTAATCCGATCGATCACAGGGATCTCATATAATACGATGTTTTATTTAAATACTTGATACTTTCTAAGGTAGGGTATGGGAATCTTGAGATCTTGCGTGGCAGAAAAGATCGTATTCAAACGCACGGGCTCTGCTTGCCCTCAGACTGAGCAGTGAGCTCGAGCAAGATATTTCATCCTCATTCAGGACATGTATCAAATACTAGAACGCAGATGGTTACATTTTGAGGAGAAATTGATACAATTTCACAAAGTAAGTGTGTATCAATAGGCTATATCGTATACGTTAGTTAGAATGTCATTGTAGGCTTACTCATTATTTGCTAAAGACTTTCAAGTTTTGTTGGGCCATTAATTCTAGCTCTGCTCACGAAGGTAGTTTGATTTTAACAGCTAATTCCGACTGTTCTAGAAGTTAGTAGGCTACTAACAGGCTACGTAACAATCTTTTTAACTTGAATTATGACAGTATAATCAGTGGTTTTAAAGTACTACTTAAGTAGTTTTTTGGGGTATCTGTACTTTACTATTTATATTTTTGACTACTTTTACTTTTACTTCACTACATTCCTAAAGAAAATAATGTACTTTTTACTCCATACAGTTTCCCTGACACCCAAAAATATTAGTTACATTTTTTATGCTTAGCAGGACAGGAAAATTGTCAAATTCACGCACTTATCCCTGGTCATGCCTACTGCATCTGATCTGACAGACTCACTAAACCCAAATGCTTCGTTTCCGAGTATGGAGTGTGCCCCTGGCTATCCGCAAGCAATTTACAAAAATACAATTGTGCCGTCTGGTTTGCTTAATACAAGCAATTTGAAATTATGTATACTTTTACTTTTGATACTTAAATATATTTAAAACCAAATATCTTTAAGACTTTTACGCAAGTAGTATTTTACTGTGTGACTTTCACTTTTACTTGAGTAATTTTCTATTAAGGTATCTTTACTTTTACTCAAGTATGACAGTTGGGTACTTTTCCACCACAGAGTATAATGAAATCAAGTATAATGTTTAATCACTTATTGTAATTTGTAAGTATTTGTTTTTATTTAGGAAGTGTATATATATTCAGCTGATAACTATAATTCTACTTTAACAATAAAACATACAGTATTTCCATTCAAACCTATATTGTCACTTAATAGTATAGTAAACACTGTCCAATTGTTTCCTTTCCACAAGATGGGCACATCAACATGAGCACAGCAGCCACCTACAGACCAGGCAGCCACCAGACCAGGCAGCCACCTACAGACCAGGCAGCCACCTACAGACCAGGCAGCCAAGGGACCATGGAAGATCCGGACACCCAGGAGGGTCCGCAGGTGTGTGTGCTGTGTGAGTGGGTCAATATTAACTCAGTGTGTGGTTGAGTCTTCTTCTTCTTCCTTTTCTTCTTCTTCAGGTGACCCAGTCCACCATCCTCTACCTCATCCAAGAAGCCACCAAGTTAGCAACTCCCACCCCACTCCACAACCACTCCATAGACTTAAAGCCTAGTACACCTATATCAAATGAAGGGTCTAAAAAGGATCAAGTGTCTGATCATAGGCCTTATCCTCCTCAGCACAATTCCTCTCTTACGAGCCTTCATAACCAGCGAAAAGATGACTTAAAACAACATAGGAGCCATACAAACTCAGTCCTGCCCAGCCGTCATAGTAGCAGCAGTCCATGGGAGTTGATGAGTCTGATCAACATGCAGTGTGAGAGACTCCTCCATTCAGACGACCAAGAGGAGGGGGCCTCAGCTAGGGCTCAGTTGGTTCCTATAGACTCTGACGATCATCCTACTGAAGGTGTGGGGTGCAGTAAGAACACAGTCCCTGTCTGCCCCACTCTAGTCAGTACCAGGGGGGATTTTCCCCATCCTCATGTCAGGTCCAGGGGAGAGATTGGTGAGATGGGTGGAGGTGGTGATTGCTCACCCACAAGTCCAGGTACCAATTCTCAGACATCACCGGATGTCAATGGCAGCTACAACACTAAACCTGGTGTGGGAGATTCAGAATCTGAGGTTGTGATGAACAAAGACACAGGAGTCACGTTTTGTCTTGGCGGTGATGGATTGTCTGTGAGTGAAGAAAGCAGAAAGGTCCTCTGTGCCTTAGTCAAAGAAGACAACACACAGAAGGAGGCCCGTCCTGAGGCAAAATACAAAGTATCAGTTAAACATCCATCTGTATCATATATAAACCTATTTGGTCAACCGCTTGACCACAAAGTAGCTACAATTAAGGATGCAGCAAGTCTATCATCTCCCTCCATAGACACCATGACATGCATACATCCAGGCCCAGAAGAGCTGAACCTTGACATGACCGTGGACTTCAACTCAAACATATGTTTCACCTTTGACCCCAAGGAAGACATGCCACCACCCCCAAACTCCCCTCGTACTATGTTGCTCATATTGAACAGTGAAGCAGGGTCTGTGAGTGTGAACGCAAAGTCAGTTCAAGATGCCATTTTTCCAGGCAGCAAAGCAGAGCTCAATGAACTCTGCATGGAAGAGGACACAGACATAATACAAGATGCCAGTCTTATTACAGACTATCCATTGGACCTCACCCAAAGCTGCATGGACATGGAGGATGACATGGACACTCTCCCCCCAGCCCCCCAGTCTCCCTCTCCATCTAACCCCATGTGGAGGACCACCAAGGCCCCGAGGAAGCAGCCCAATCCCAGCCGGAGTGTGGATGTTGGGGACCCAGACTTCCAGGGAGTGACGTTCCGGATGCAGACAGAGCTGGACGACAGCAGGGAGCAATATCGCCTTCTCATCACCTCCAGGAAGTACAGGTATGGTTGATGTCAGAGTATGCATGGCTCTTTCTCCCCATAACTGAAAGTGCTTAAAAAATGTACAAATACATTTATTATATTATTTAGAGCTGCCTTAGGTAATAAAGTATTATATGAAATTCAATTTGTATGTTACACATTTCCCTATGCAATATATTGTTGTAAAATATCTCACAATGTTCTCTACAAATGAACTGCTTTATAAAGCTGTGTGTGTATGCCTGCGTGTCTTCTAGTGAAGAGCCCTCTAGTGGTCCGACCCGGAGGTCACCGAGGGCAGGCAGGTCCCGTTCATCCCAGAGTTCCATGAGGACCAGCAGCTCTGAAGAGAGCGACCCCTCCTCCAGTGACTAACAATATATACCACTCTTCACCAGGAGGGGGCGCCACTACTGCACAAAACAATACCAGATCCATAGAAATAGGCCGAACACTACACTCTTAGAAAAAAGGGTTCATGAGAGGTTATTTGCAGGGACTGGATGTTCTATGTAGAAATATTTATACTCAAGTAATCCAGGAGGGGGTACCATTACAACACAAATCAAACACTTTAACTAGAACCATAGACAGGTGGAATACATTTGATGAGGGGGAGTTTTAGAGGAGGAATTTTGGGAAACTGCTGTGTAAACATCCTAAGACTTTAATGAGTAACATAGTGTACAGTGTTAAAGGCAGCAAGATCAGGTTGTGATTTGGCACTCACACTCGCTGTGCACCTAAAAGGAAATAAAATGAAAGAGAAGCCATATACTGAGTCATTGAAACATATAATTTCATTATTCTACAACCTATTTGGGAGGATTATGGCACAAGGCCTATTTGTTTGTGCTGATAGTCACTCCTTTCTCCCCATCAGAGAATAAGATCTGTGCCTCCTGCTGCACCAGGAAGACACCCCTGTGGAGAGATGCTGAGGACGGGACCCCGTTGTGTAACGCCTGTGGAATAAGGTGAGTCGCATTAAATACAGTGCATTATCAAGCACATCGATACGGCCCAGAGTTTCTCCTGGTCAGGTCACGTGGCCATGAACTCTGACCCTGTAATTATAGTATATGGTGACCGTGACGTTGATGACATTGATGGCTTTGATGACCACAATATCACGCAACCCCGTATGTGAGCTGTGGACAGAATTAGGACTTGAAGGACATGTAAGGCCAACAGTCAGTGTAACCTATATCCCCTGTTATTCTCCTCCATGTCTGCTTACTCCTCAGGTATAAGAAGTACAAGGTACGCTGCCTGCAGTGTTGGCACATCCCTAGGAAGGAGGGAAACTCCAACTCATGCTGCTTCAAATGTGGAAACTTACTACGGCTGGCTACGTCCCACCGCAAGCACTCCACCTGATAGGGGAAGGGAACACACTTAGGCCTTGGCATGAGGTCCTAGACACTGATACCACAGCCAATCCCCCTCCAGGTACAAGGTCATTGGCCCCACCTCCTGACTTTGAGACTCATTAAGTTATTTGATAATTATTACATGACATCATTTCATAGTGGGTCACAGTGTTGTTTGGCTGAGCCATGGTGGGTCACAGTGTTGGCTGAGCCATGGTGGGTCACAGTGTTGGCTGAGCCATGGTGGGTCACAGTGTTGGCTGAGCCATGGTGGGTCACAGTGTTGGCTGAGCCATGGTGGGTCACAGTCTGACTGATCTGGCTCGGGTCTTGCTGCTTTTAGCACTGTGGCGTGCACTCGTCACTTTAGGAAGAAGGAGTCCAATAGGAGAAGAGTGTCTTTCTGCTTGGAGGCTGTGTCTATTGACAGTAGACTGTCTGTGTCCGAAACAACTCAGACAAAAGTAATGCACTATACAGGGAATAGGGAATCTCTGGCCAACAGTAGTGCACTATAGGGACGAAGGACCCATGGCTCTGGCCAAAGACGGTGCACTGCTATACTGGGAATAGGTAGCCATTTTGGATTGTTTACTCTCCTTGTTTACTAGACCTTGGTGCTATCCAGTTTATATGTTACATTAAGGTAAATGAAGTTGTGATATATTATCTGTTGTTCTTGTTGAGTTTTGTATATATATATATTTTTCTTTTCCTTTTCTTGTTGTTTCTGGACAGCCCTTAGCATTAACTGGCTGGATTAGGGATGAAGCAGTTCCATATATTTACTGTTTCCTGTCAGAAAGAAACGTTTGTGTTAGTGTGCTACACTTTTGGGTTTGGTGTGCATAAAGTTCTTGTTAAAATATCTTATCTGGTTTGTTTTCATTTTATCTCTCAATCCTCTGAATGTGTGCCTACAACTTGGTTTATAATGAGGAATCTGAAAAATGGATGCATTATTTTTATATAAATTGATATGGAACCATATTCAAACTGATTTGTGAGAATTACCTCAGGAATGTTCAAGTTTGTATGCTTAAATTAAATGCAATTAGTGAGACTTTAAAATGTATCAAAATAAGAAAGAGGCAAGTTTAACAGCAGACACTCCTGCAGCAGGAATAAACACAACCTGGGCTGTGCAATATTTTGTGCCTGTAGTGAAACGCTCTTTACTTTTGCCCGATGCGTCTGTTTCACATCAGAAAAGTGCATAATCAGAAATAATAGCCACACAGTATTTGCCAAGCACAGTTATCGACAGATTTTGGGACCTGCTGGAAATATTGGAATTCTCATGAAGTATTTAGTATAGACCAGTTTAAAATTAAAATCTGGCCACTGCCAGCGTGTTGTCTTTCACATGTATAGATAAGTAGCCTATCATAACATTTTGTTAAATAATATAATATTCCTTATAGCTGGCCATAAACAACATGGAAAGAATGGCTAATACATTATGAATTGTAATTGATTTTACTATATCCAGTAAGCTAGTGGCTTTAAAACGGTTACAATGTTTATGCATTACTGCATAGAGACCACGCATAAAAGCGCAGCACGTGCGCACTGGCACCGAAGTCATTTTGTCCTAGCTCTCCAGTTCAGTGCTTCTTCATTTCATTTCTCCTTTCAGAAAACAATACAGTTTTGACCATATTCGACTCTCGAGTGAAATAAAATTCCTCATAAAAGAATGCTATGAATAGAGAACTGGATAGGATTGGCATTTGTTGTGGTAGACAGATTCTATTAAAATAAAGGGCTGTAGGTATTCAATAATGGTTTTACAAATGGGAAAACGGGATATATAATTGAGTCCTGTTAACTGTTAAATGTATCGAAGAAAACTGACAATAGTTCCCCCATCACCCGTAGCATATCAGAAAATAGTATACCTACAGCCCTATCCAGTTACTTTATGCAAATTATTACAATCAGGCTTCTGATTTTAGTACAACAAAGTGCATTTTTATTGAGTGTATAATGACAACAAGCCCCAAATACTATTTATTTATTAAGTGTAGCCTATGTCCTAATGTGCCATTGTGTGTTGAACATCAAAGTTGTCTAATGGCCTATTCTTTATTCCATAAGTTATTTCTCCCCAAGATCAAAAACACTTTTGTAGGCCTAATGATTGTTTTGACTTCTTGTGATGGTATGTTTATTTTAGTAAGTATTTGTCGTAATTATTTTCAGAACCGAAGAGGAGAAGGAGCAGGGGGACGGAGGAGGGGGGGAGGTGAAAAGTATTTTGGTGCAGCTGGGTTTTCTTTTTTTTTGTTAATGAAAAGCGAAAAGGCAGGAGGCAGGCCCGTAGCGTGTGTCCGACCCGAGGATCCTCATCTCGCCTGTTGGCGCATGCAGGTGGCACCGGACCCGCGAGAGGATTATGACGCTGGAAGGAGTGCTGGAGCTCATGGAGAGGGCCGATATCGACTTGGAGGGAAAAGGGAACAAAGCTACACGAAACCAGGAGTATGTATCCTTGACCAAAGAAGACGGGACCGATTTGGAGCAGCAAAGCGCTGCGTCCTTGTCTCCAAAACAGCCAGCGAAGGATACGGAGGATGACGGTGACTTTACGCCAAAGTGCACAGGGAGAAGCGCTGCCCCTGTGAAACCTCCGTACTCCTACATCGCTCTTATCACCATGGCAATTCTCCAGAGCCCGAAGAAGAGACTGACTCTGTCGGAGATATGTGACTTCATCAGTCAGCGCTTCGCGTATTACCGGGAGAAGTTCCCCGCGTGGCAGAACTCCATCCGTCACAACTTGTCCCTCAACGACTGCTTCGTCAAAATGCCCCGGGAGCCCGGTAACCCCGGGAAAGGGAACTACTGGACGTTAGACCCTATGTCGTCTCATATGTTCGAGAACGGGAGCTTCCTTCGGCGGAGGAAACGTTTCAAACGGCAGCATTTCCGATTTGGGATGATGGACACCCGGTGCCCGCTCGAGCGCAGCAGCGTGCTCCCTGGATTCTCCTTCTACGGGACGCACGGGATAGGGCCGTGTCATTTTCAGGTACCCGGTTTAGAATTGTACCATCACTTGGGCAGCGAACATCATTCGGTTTCTAACCAAAGCATCCCACCAGTGAGCTGCATCTTGCCCGCGCTCTCCTCACTTTTATCAAGGAATTCGAACGTTGTCCAAAATACGTTTATTCCACCTCAGTCTATTAGCTTTGAGAATTTCGATACAACACGCCGCTCAGCCTCCACAGTGGGCCAAGCTTTGGTCCCGGGATCTTCATTTCTGTCCCCGGCATCGCTCCATTCGATGGGCGCTGCGCATCTCTTGAGCTTTCATCCGGAGTACCACAAACTGCGCTCTCTCCCCAACTCCAGCCTTATAGCAAATGAACTCTTGCAGCAACTTGGTGACAAATAGCTTAATCAATAGTGTTTTCTGTATTGACGTGGATTCATCAGGGAAACCCACCTTTCATAGATTTGTATCTATTCAATGAAACAAATGCTTCAAATAGAAAATGTTATGTTTTCAAGATGTCAATTGAGTCAAAATTTCTAACAAAAGGTTAGTGGCCAACGAAAAAAACGTTTTGCAATACAGATGTGGTTTGAGGCCTTTATTTTGTGTAAATAATGCCTTTATAATGAAATATTATCAGTTGATTTTTAACGACATTTGGCTAATTATCACTTTATGGATAATTTAACACTGAAAGAAAAACATCAAATCATAACAAAAAAATGTTTTGTAATTGAACATGTCAGATTTATTATACAACTTGTCTAGATTCACTGATGCAGAACCTCTCAGAATTACCCTAATCTCCCATATGTGCCTATCTTGCCCATGGCAAATGTAATCTCTATAGGCTTACTTTGAAAATGTTATATTTTGCCTAATTTTAAAGCTAATTATTTTTAAGGGGAAATGTATTTTCCTACACTGTGGAATGAATAACAACACACACAATATTTGTAGCGCCAACAATGTGGAGCCCTGAAACATAAAAACACGAGCTTTCAATAACCATTTGTTTTGAAAGGTGCCTGGTCTTATTTTTGTTTAAGTTGACAATATTTGGTTTGATTGACTGGCGTTATAATTTTACAAATTACCATTTGAATATTTTTCATTCAGTAGCTTATTTTATGCCACATTTGGCCATGCCTGCGTGGCAGAAAATATGAGCTTCACCTGCTTGGGCACGCGAGTGGAAACCTTTTAAATGTGAGGATGTCATTGAGTTTATTTTATTTTACTCTTCGTGTCAACGTGTGATTGGTTACCACACCAATGATTTGTTTGAAAAGCTGTAATGTATATGCAAGATCTCACGGTGCATACACACATATGCCCATTCTTCATATCTCATTCGAGTGTCTCTCTGTGTGTGTGTCTGTGCGTGGCCTGCACCACTACATGTGTTAAAAAGAAGGCATTCCTATTATAAAGGGCTACAGTTCCAAATCCTGCATGCTAAGTAAGTTCAACATCTGTTTGTTCTGTAATGTTGTTCCACGATTTATCAAATGCATCTAGAGAGATCCAGCCTACATTAAACATCACATTGTTATATTGAGTGTAATGTACAGTTGTTTACTTTAATGTAACCTATATTTGGCTGTGTCTACTGCTGCATAGTTCGTTTTGTCTTGGACTTGGACTATAGTGTTTACCATATGCCTGCTCTCCATTGCAGAAAGACCCATGTCAGAATTACTACAAAGCTTTAACACTTGCATTTGATCTCCAGTTATAAATCCTAGTGTTGTTGGACTGCTAAGCATCGGAACACGCAAAACCTCTCCACGTTCCATCGTTGGTCATCTCTTTGAGCAGTTTGCTTTTCCTGGCGCACTCCATCATATTGGGCTTTTATTCAATTATATACTTTTCTCCTTTCCCCGTTCCCCTGCCTCTGTTTAACTGTTCTGTGTGTGCCTGTGTGTGTCATCAGTGCGGCCGGTTAAAACGCAACTCTGCACTGTGTTTTAAAGGCCCCCGTGCACGCATGGCGTTCG